ATCATAATAGGCCGAGTTGTGCTAGAGTAAAAATCAAAGTGGATCTGACTGCAAAGTTAACCCAGAGAGTAAAGATTAACGAAGAAAATGATAGGAGTAATAAATCCAAGTGGATTAAAGTGCAATATGATTACATGCCTAAATATTGCAAATAATATTGCTTACAAGGTCATGACAAACAAAACTGCTGGACAATTCACCCAGAGATGAATGAAAAAGAAAAGCAAAGGGATGGGCAAGAAAGCACACAGAACATTATTGGAACGACGACAAACCAAAGAAGAACTTTAACAAGCGGGAAAGTGGTAGGAAACAAGAAAAATAGATAAGAATGGATGATAAGGAGAAGGAATAAATACAAGAGGGACAAATATGGGCACATAGAAGGGGAGATCGACTATCAAGATGATAACGCCTTTGAAGCTCTGAGGAAGGCAAAAGAAATAGACAAAGGAGAAAGCAATGAGAGCAAAAGGGAAGGGGAAAGTACCAAAGAATGGGTGAACAAAACCTTTGCCATCAAGGAGCAGAAAGACAAGTAGGAAACTTAGGAAATTCAAAAGAAAGACAATGGAAAGATAATAGAGGTAGAGAAATGTAAGGAAGTGATTATTCAAAGCAACCAAGGGATTCAAGGGGAAGGACAGGAAAAAAAGGCTAAAGATGAATAAAATCGAGGAAAAATGTTATAACGATATCAATGAAGGTGCTATAATGATGGCTGAAGTGAATGATAAGGAAATTCTACCACTGGTTTTTTAGATCGATGACGAAAAGGTGGGGGAGGATCAAAATTGGGATTTAAAGCAGAGTTCGAAGTAGAATATGGAGAATGTAGAGAAGGAAAACTCATCCCAAAATATAAGTCATGTGGTTGTGGAAGGTGATTTATCGCCTAAACAAACAGGGAAACTCAAGGGAAAATATACCAAACAGAGGGAAAAAAATGAAGAGGATCTTACAAAGGCTTAAACATCATCCATAAAATCTAAGAGAACGATTGTAAGAAATCCTAACTATCAATGAAGGCTTTACTATGGAATATTAGGTCAGTAAACACTCAAAAAGCATTTACAAGACTAATAAATCTCCATACGAGATGTCAATTTTACTTCATTGGATTGATGGAACCTTTTGAAGATAATCAAGGACTAGAAGAGTTTAGAAGAAGGTTAGGCATGGAACATGCAGTAGCTAGCACTAATGGGAAGAGCCGGGCCTTTATTGATGAGATTTTTGAATATGAACTGATAAGAGATGAAGAGCAGATGTTAATTATCAAATTGATGAATCAAGGATTGGGCATTGAAGTTCTAATATCTCTGATATGTTCTAAGTACACACAAATAAAAAGACTTCGATTGTGGGAGTCAATATATGAACTGGCAAACACTAGAACGATACCATGGATGGTAGGAGGTGATTTTAATGTTGAAAGTAATGAAGAGGAAAACTAGGGGAAAGGCCAGTTGTAGATTCAGAAGTTAGAGACTTAAACCACCGTATAAATATGTGTAATTTGGAGAATAAGGGTTTCAAGGGAAGAAAATACACGTGGTGGAAAGGTAGAACAGATGAGGAATGAATCTTTAAAAGACTGGATATAGGGTTGTGTAATGATGAATTGCATATTGTCTTTCCAATTGTAGAGACAGAGCACCTGATAAGGAGTAGGTCAGATCATACACCATTATAAATCACTTTAAAAGTGACCACTAAGAAGGTGAGTAAACCGTACAGATTTTTGAATTTCTAGCTAAAAGAAGAATCTTTCATGGGAGTAGTGAGGGACCACTGGAAAGGGACTTTGAAAGGATCCTTTTAATGTATTTCATCATAAACTAAAAAGGGTTAAGAGAGATTTAACGCAATGGAGTAAAGATACATTCGACAACATTTGAAGCAAATCCAACTAGATTAAATCTGGAAAGGCTTCATAAAGCACAAGCAGCCTTAATAAAATAACTTCAAAGAGAAGAAGAGTTCTGGAAACAAAAATCTGGAATGGAGTGGTTTAAGGAAGGAGAGAGAAATATAAAATTCTTTCACACCATAGTGAAAGGTAGAAGAAGTAGGTTGCATGTAAACATAATACAAAACAAGGAAGGGGAATGGTTAGAAGATCAAGAGGATATTTCAGGAGCAAAAATATATTTTTATACCAAATAATTCGCAATGCAATATGCTAGTGGAGATTTTGAATTGTTAAATGAACTACCACAAGTAGTGAGCTAGTGGAGACAAGAATGAGGAGATGTAGAGAATGCCAACGATAGAAGAGGTCAGAGAAGCGGTTATGGGGCTCAATCAAAATAGTGTAGGAGGATCAGATGGGATGATATGTGCCTTCTATCAAAGTGCTTGGGAAATTATTGGTGAAGACATTCACAAAATTACTAAAGCTTTTTTCTATGGTGCTGAACTATCTAGATTCATCACGCCTACGAACTTAGTCCTAATTCCAAAAGAGATGATGGTTAGTACTTTTTCATATTTGAAGCCTATATCTTTGAGTAATTTTTTGAATAAGATTTTTTTACGCATCATCCATGAGAGAATTAAAGGTATGCTACCTCAAATAATCTCTCCTGAAAAAGCAGCTTTGTAGTATAGCAGAGAATGTCCTACTGGTTCAGGAAATAATCACGGAAATAAGGAAAAAAGGGAAAACCACCTTAGTCATTAAGCTGGATATGATGAAAACTTATGATAGAGTAGAGTGGCTTTTCCTATCTAAGGTGATGAGGATATTGGGATTTGGAGACAAAATTATTGATATGGCTTTTAGATTGATTAGCAACAACTGGTACTCAATTTTGCTAAATGGACAATAGAAAGGTTTTTTCAAATCCTCAAGAGGTCTAAAACATGGCGAGCCTCTCTCACCCACTCTCTTCATATTGGCATCAAAGGTGATGTTTAGAGCTCTAAATGCCTTGATGAAAAAGAAAGAGTTTAAAAGGTTTGGTATGCCAAAAGTAAGCTTGAAGTTAAATCCTTTAGCTTTTGCGAATGACATGATCATTTTGTGTAAGGCGTAGGTAGGCACAATGAAAATGATTAGAGAAACAATGCAGAAGTATGAAGAGGTATCAGGACAAAAGGTGAACAAAGACAAAAGTGCAACATATTTGCACCATAGTGTCAATGGAGGAGAATCAGTGGTTGCATAAGTGGCGACATGAATCCTAAGGAAATAATTTCCCTTTACTTATCTGGGTTGCCCTGTATTTTATAAGGGAAAGGAAAAAGCCTACTATCAGCTATTGATTCAAAGGATTGGAGCTAAGATACAAGGATATAAAGGTAAGTTATTATCTTACGGGGGACGGGTTGTGCTGATTAAATATGTACTCCATACTATCCCCTATACATTATTTATCAATCATGAACCCTCCAAGCAATGTATTAATACATGTGCAAAAAATGATTGCTCAATTCTTTTGGAGTAGTTGCATGGAAGGAAGAGACAGACACTTGAGTAAATGGGGAAACCTATGTCTACCAGAGGAGGAAGGAGGACTAGGTTTTAGACTAATGCATGATGTATCAATGAATTTGTTTTGCAAGATTTGGTGGAATTATAGAACAAAACAAACTTTATGGAGTGAATACATGAGAAACAAATACTACAAGTTGAAAATTTAGAATCTGGCCATGTGGAAAGTAAGAGGAGGAAACTCTCAAGTGTGGAGGAAAATGCTAATGCAAGAGATTTAATTTAACATCAAATACTATGGCGAACTAAGAATGGTTCAGTTTCACTATGGCATGATAATTGGATAGGATTGGGGGACACGTACACAATTACTGGAGACAACTTCTCTTGGGAGGAGAGGTATGAAAAAGTTAGGGATCTAACAAAAAATGGGAATGGGATGTGGAATTATTAAATGAAACATTACCCCCAGAATTTTTCGGACATATCCTATGCCATATTAAGCCTCCTAAAGGTAATAAAAATGTCAAAATGGGAATGGGATTTGGGGAAGTTTTTCATTCAAAACAACATGGAACTATATAAGGCACAATAAGGACCCTAATATAATTCATAGGTGGATTTGGAATAAGGGGATGCCTTTCAAAATAACATTTATGATGTGGAGGATGTGGAAGTTTAAGATCCCCAGGGATGATAGGCTGAGAAGATGTGATCTTGAACGACCATCTAGATGCTGGTGCTGTGACAAACCTGATCAAGAAACACTATCACATGTGTTCTTATAATAAAAATTTGCTAACAGGACTTGGTCCTACTTATGTTCTTTTCCAGGTCTAAACATTACATAATTGTACTTAAGGGAAGTTATAATGTTGTAGTGGGGGATCCACATTAAGACAGATATAAGACCTTATTGTAGAGCTATCCTAGACTTTATAATTTAGGAATTGTGGAAAAGAAGGAACAAAAAGAAGCATGTAGGCAAAAACATTTCACTGCTAAGAATCATGCATAATGTGACCAGGAACATGACTATGTTGGCTAAAATGAAAATGCCTAACATGATAGGGGGAGGAACCTGGCTTGAAATCCTTAAGGAGCTAGAGGAATGTAGTCCTAAAGTTAAGGTCATCAAGGTTAAATGAGAATACCCACCGGTAAGTGGATCAAATACAACATAGATGGAGCAGCTAAAGGAAACTCAAGATTGAGCTCGTATGCCTACTATTTAAGAGATGAGAATGGAGATATTATACATGCAGAAGGAGCCAGGATTGAAAATACAACAAACATTATGTAAGAGGCAAAAGCTATTCTAGAAGCAAGCAAACATTGTAAGAACTCACAACATAATCAGGTCATTATTCAAACTGATTCTATGTTAATGTGCGAAGTGCTAAAAGGAAAATGGGCCACTGCATGGGCAATTTCAGATATTGTGGAGGAAATTAAAACATGCTTACAGGATAAACAACATACATTTCAGCACATAATGAGGGAGGGGAACCAACTTGTTGACTACCTAGAAAACAAAGTAATAAAGCAGGGTACATGCAGATATGGAGATTTTAATAGCCAGGAACTAGACAATAAGAGAATCTTAAACAATGATAAAAGTCAGAGCCCATACTTAAGGATATCACCATTAAGGAGCTAATGGGGAAGGGGAGGCTAAAGCATTAAGTTTTCACAATTATAGTATTTACAAAAGCCACAGGGGGACAAAAGATGTGGAATGCTAATTAGCCTAGGCTATCTCAGCCAACAAAAAGGACTCGGCAAAATGGGGGTTATAATGTTCAAGAACTTAAACCTAGAGAAAGCACTTATCACTAGTTGGAAGTGGCGGAATAAAGCTACCCATGCACCCCTGTCGAGCACCACCTGGAGAAAAGTAGAAGAAGTAAACAGAGTACAAGGCAACAAAGGAAGTTTAATGAAGCAGCCCTACCTAGTGAATAAGTCATCCCCCATCAGATGGCTTCGAGAAGCAAAACAGAAAGTGCACAACCCATTGTACCGGAAAACACAACTAGGAACAAATATGTCAGAAACACAAACAAAGGGCAAAGGAAATTCGAATAGAATGAAATACTTATTATTGATAGCTGGAATCTAAGCTTGCAAGATGACCTACATCATCATGTTGATGATCCACAACAATATGAGTCAAAATCTTTTGTTCAACCACAATTGGAACACAAATCAGATTGGAAAAGCTTTGCTTGATATAAGCGAGGAGGCGGAATTAGGAAATGAAGAGATTGAGGCGTTTAGGGAACCCTAACTTCTAGGGATGTGTTTTGAAGGATGGGAATCCGATGGGCTGGACTCATATGCTCTTATCATTCTTTTATTTTCTTTGTTATATTTATTGGATTTGGACATTAGGCCCAAATTAGTATTGTAATTACTTATCTTCCTCTTTAATAAAAGGGTCGGCCAAAATTCGATCAAAAAAATTCAAAAAAAATGTATTCACGATTATTGTTGATTGTATTTTAGTATACGTAATATATTTTAAGGCACTAGATATGAAACAAATTTGTTTTAAAAGGATAAGGGTTAAATTTTGGGTGTGCAAAATCAAACTGACTAATAAATCGAACCGAAAAAAATATTATTGGGTTATTAGATTTTAAATGGTTTCCTAAAAGAAAGTTATTGGGTCATTGTTTCGATGTTGATTTTTTAATATTGGGTTATTGAGTAAGCCGATAACTCATTAAGATAATAGTAATATACTACTTTACCCCTACATAAATATTAAATATTGATATCAATATCTTATTAGTTACTACCTTTTTTCTTTAGCCTTCAATCCACATTACTGTCCTAGTTCTTTATTTGTGTTGCACTTGAATAATTGGTTTCATGTTAGTTACTATTGTTCCTATTATATGAGCATTTTGTAAAGTTACATAATTGTCTTGTCGTGTCAAATTATTAGAGAAATCATATGATTATTTTATGGACATTTTCTTATTGGTTAAGCCGAAAACTGAATTTTCAAGAACCAAAAATCGATAAATCAAAACTTGATTATAAAATTCTTATTAGTTTGGTTATTAATTTAGCATTTCAAAATAAAAAATCTATGAACCGAACCAATTATACATAAAATCAAAGTAAACCGATTGATGCACACCCTTAGAATTCACTTCCATTAAACTATCATACTTTCCATTATTAAACTATCATCTCAAGATGACTCTTTCAAAACATAAATTTTGTGATGATTGAAACGTCAATACAACTGTTACATGTAAAACCACCAAAACATATAAATTCAAGTACATATATTAATATAGTTACTAATAAAAAATTTAGAACTTGCAGTAATTTTTTGAGGATGGAAATATCAATATATATAATACCTGGAAGTGCCTAGCTAAGATAAAATCAGGATAGTGCAGAAAATTTTCTGAAAGTATGAAGTTTTTGGAGTTTAACAATGTATTTTACAGGTCATACAAATGCTTACGGCTCGTGAAAGGACTTTTTAGTTGACACATAAGATTCCAGAATTTTAAGCGATTACGAGTGGATTCACGGATCGTGGTTAGTTGTGCGAGTCATGGATATACTCATAGGAATAAGCTTGGTAACTTTAGAATTTCAGGATTTCAAGGTCTCAACATACGAGCCAATAGTACGACTCGTAAAAGGAACTACAAGTCGTAGTTGGTCTTGTGGACTTAGTCTTTAGGAAGTTATAATTTTAGTGCTTTGATGTCACGCCCCGAGCCTACACCCTGGGCGTGGCCGACACTTGAGAATCATTGGTGGTCCCCAAGTGAACCCTTGTCCTGACTGATTACTTAGCGGAAGATTGACTCAATCATATGTAGGCTTTAAAAATTAAAATATATCACTTGTCTCAAAATACTCCCTCAATCCCAATTTATGTGGCACTTTTCATTTTTTGAGAGTCAAACGGTTTAACTTTGACCGGAAATTTGCATATGAAATCTTCAATTTTTTAAAAATGAAATTTATATATTTGTAAACTACGTTAAAAGTACTATAAGTCATAATAATTAATAATTCAAAATGTTAAAAGGATCTATGAAAAACTTAGTGTCAAAGATAGACTTGTTTGGATCTCAAAATATGAAAAGTGGCACATAAAATTAGACGAAGGGAGTACTCAATTTAAACTGTTTTGAAATATACTGAATGAAAGCAGTAAGAGTTTACGAAGTACTTCAAAAGAAATACAGAAGGACTCTCAATATTATCTATCTATGAAGCCTCTAGTGTTCAAGATGGATGTCGGGACAAAACCCACGACACCTCAAAATAACTAAACTTGAAATAAAAATGCAGTCCTCCAGGAAAAATAAGGTCTCACCAAAAGCTATCAATGACGGTAAAGTGATCTCAACGAAGCCCCTGTTGATGATCCTAAATACTTATATCTGCATCATAAAAATATGAAGGTCGAATGACATCAGTACATTGAATGTAGCAGTATGTAATATAACTGAAGCAACAATAACTGAACTAAAAAGCCTGAAACAATACTCAACTGAATGTAAAGCTAAATAGAGATAAGATTATTTAAACCTTTATAAGATAAAATATGCTAACTCACTGAACTGTATGTATACGTATAATAAAAAAAGTTTTTACTCTGCTAGATTGTTTTTCTAACCGACAACCATCACTATGAGACTCGTGATAATACAACATCTCGTCCACGCTGTTAGAATTGTCATATACCTTGACCAGGTATAGAACAATCTCAACTCATGGATCCATTATAAAGGTTAGCTCAAAGGTAGCGAGGAGTCGCCCAAAAGTCGGTGCGATCCTAACCCACGTTGTCTACATGGTTTATGGAGAATATGAGTTATTAGAAATATTCCTCATATCTGTGCTCAATACTACTCCAAAATATATAACTCACTGCTCAAGTAAAAATACTCTATCTAGGTTGAGATAAGTTCTCAAAAGGGCCTCATAGAAAGGTATTGCTTTGTAATAACTCTGTCTAAAAAACTCTTATAGTTTTTTTGAAATTAGTGCTCTCTTTCTCCATGTAAAAATAATTTATTTGGGAATCATTTAGTTTCCTTAAACTCTACTAAAACAATTATAAGGAAAAATGTTTTATGAAAAGATTCTCAACGAAAACTCAGTAAATGGGGTTCATGTGGGAATATAAACATGAACAACCACTCAAAGATCTCAATGCATAATATATAGCAACTCATAGTCAAGAATTTTGAACTTGAAATCAATATTATAACTCACATCAGGAATTCTCAAAAACTAAGGGTATGACCCTAGATTAAACTTTTACTGGTTGAATTTAGATGTAGGGCGTGCGGAAAAACTCAATCCATCACTATGATTAGCCTTACATACCTGGAAGAATAGAGTTTTTAATGAATTGTGAGAGCTCTTGAAAAGCCTAACTTTCTCCTCTTGGATCCTCGCTCTAAGACTTGGAAGCGTTAATAGGAGTTTTATGGCCGATTAATACTATTCAGAACCTTATTTAGATGTAAAAACGTTGAGGATTAGTCTTAGAAATTGTGGAAAAAATACCAAACTACTCCTCTTGAAAAGTTGACGAAAACCTTCCACGGGGACATCTACGATTCGTGGTTTGCTCTACGGACCGTAAATCCAATCCATAGAATACATATTGAATTTTAAGGCTAATAATTTCATTCTACGGGTCCAAATTATGACCCCTAGAAGTTTATACGACCCGTAGATGGGTCTATAGAAATTAGACCCAACATTAGACTCTCTAAAAAAATTTAACGAGTTGATAGTATAGGTCGTAGTTGTAACACCCTGTATTCTAGATAGACCAGAAATGCAGATTCCAGAAGTTGCAGGTGCCACCAACGGTACCACCTCTGGACCGTAGGGTGACCCACAGACTGTAGGTGGGGTCCATTGTTGCCCACCTGTAGCTCCCTTCCCAGAACCCCAGAATTTTTCAGCCAAGTCTTGACCCACGCCAGGACCTACGTACCGTATGTGGGACCACGGTCCGTGGTTCAGACTCCCCAGAACCCCAGGAAAATTTAGCTAAGTCCAGAACCATGCCAGGACCTACGGACCTTAGGTAGGACCACAGTTTGTGGACCAGGTCCGTGGTTCAGACTCGCCAAATTCCAGCATCTGAAGCCAGTCGACGACTGACTAGGACGGACTGTAGGTGGGACCACGGCCCGTGGACCAGGTCTGTCGGTTAGCCCAAACAACTTTTAAGTCAGGGGTCGTTTGGTCATTTCCTTATGCGTTAGACCCCCTAAACTACGTCATTTAAACCCTAAACTACGTAGTTTTGGTCAATTTTATCCTAGCAACTTAATTAGAACTTACCCTAGCCAACTCATTCTCTGAAATTCATCAAGTTGAACAAAAAGAAGGAGAAAGAATTGACCAACCCTCTCCAAGAACGCAACAAGTTTTCTTCAGTTCCAGCCTAAAAATCGTAAGATTTCTCTGTGAATTTCATCACTATGTATGTGGGATTTCATTAGTGGCTTCCTTTCACCCATTAAATCCCTAGAATTTAGTCAGATTCTTGATTCTCTACAACATGTTAGACCTAGGGTCTCTAGAATTTCAGAATTTATATTGTGATTCAGTTGTTAGACTAATCCAAATTAGATTATCATGTTTTCATGGAATTGTTACTTAGTTTTTGCTTGAAACTCAGAACCCTAGTTGTGTAGGTTCGTTTAGTTCATGAATTACACTTGCTAGGCCAAATTATTCAGATATACATGCCTCAGCTAAGAATGTTTCATTATCAGTAAATTAATGTTGCATTTTTAGTTAGCATTGCAGAACATCGAGCTATCCAGTTTATTTCAGTTATATTGTATATTATACATTCTATTGGGAGTAGGCTTAATACCGAGTTGGACTAGGGTCAGTCACCGTCATAGTCCCAGAACTACGTGCCCCCATAGGTAAGTCCCCTCTGTGGGCATTATACTTAGTGATCACGCCAGTCATGCCTCTATACCTTTGGCAAGGTATATTGGGTCCTCTCGATGGGACGTATACATCGAACTCCATATTTAGCTCATGTGGTTTTATATCGATTATTAGTAGCTACCACAGACAGATTCTAGTGTATTGACCAGGTTATATCATTGCTTTATTGCTTTGTTCAGTTATATGCTTTATTCAGCTTTATTCTATCCTGCATGCTCAGTATCTTTCAAGTACTGACGCATACTCTGCGCTACATCTTCTCATGATGTAGGTTCACGTCCTCAGTATTCAGATCACGCATAGATCGGTTCCCGATCTCCAGTTCAGTAGCTAT